GAAGGTTATGTACAGCAAATGAACTGTAGGATATAGAGTGCTATCAAAGATTTTAAGGGTAACTATATATGTATAAACCCTGATAGAGGAATGTACGTGTTAATTATAACTCAAACTGAAGGTTATGTACAGCAAATGAACTGTAGGATATAGAGTGCTATCAAAGATTTTAAGGGTAACTATATATGTATAAAACCTGACAGAGGAATGTAAGTGTTTATTATAACTCAAACTGAAGGTTATGAACAGTAGGATATAGAGTACTATAAAGGGAAATAAAACCCCCAAAAAATATTTTCATTACCAACAGTATATCAAAATTAAAATTTTTCAGCAGCAACTATTAGAAAAAATTACAATCAGGAGTACAGACCTTTACCAGCACATAGAACATAGTTCATATATTTGCTTTAATTAAATAAGATACTATAATGACACAAACAATGCCACAACTACTACTAAATATTTCTATTTTAGAATTTATTCAAGAAGTAGCAAGTCTCATTTGCTTTATATTTTAAATCACCCTATTTAACAACATTTACCACATCACTAGCACAACAAAATCCCTAATAGTTAAAATATTTGAAATCCGATTTTGATTCCATATCTCAAAACCTACTTACCACATTATCATCACAGGAAACAAAAACCCTAACAGTTAATATTTCAACACTTACTTTGATTCCTTAATTTAAAAGTTACTTAACACATTAGTAGCCCATGATAAAAAAATAACTAACACATAATAGTTCAACTTTGTTCCCATAACACAAAGTTTAACAATATCATTTGCACAAGCAACAAAGTCTATAAGGCTTAACATTTCAACTCTGATATTTATCCCGCAAGTCAAAATTTATTTACAGCATCACTTGCACAAGCTACAAATTTTCCTTTCCATTTGATGTTTCTGATTTGGCCTTCCCCTTGATGGAGAACCGTGTTCTTATATCGAGAGAGGAATGTCTTCTCGTGCAGCATAACCTAAAAGTACATTCAATCACATTTTAAAATAAATAAACACATCTAATGCCAAGATATTAACACTAAAACATATCCAATTGTTTTTCAAACAAATAAAACAATTTTAAGTTAGTAATAGGAGTTATATTACATAACAATATAGTATAAAGACACAGAGCTGTAACAAACAATGCCTGTAGTTACAGGCAGATTTGTAATTTTTAAATATAAATATTTTTATTTCAAGTAAATTTTTTACCTTGTCATCTCCAGTGATGAATCTTCTTCCTGTTCCAGATTTGTAAAAAAAAGGATCCAGAGCAACTGCTCTCACTGGTCTATCCAGACTCAAAATGTAGTTATGTTCTGAACTGTACAAACCATGGATAGCCACCTGTAAAAACATTACATTACTACCCTTCCAGAAATATCTAAATACCTCTTGAGCATGTGACGTACAGTTTAAGGAGAACCCTGTGATAATACACATAGGTACACAATAGACAGGTAGATTAGTAATGTTGAGGTGTGTGAAAGATGCCAAAATCTCTTGAATTATAAGAATGTTAGAGAGAGAATACAACCTGCTGACAAAACAATTCCTAAAATAACTACAATGCTTGGTTAGGTGTAAAGTACTGTGCATGAGATGATTTTATTTGGTGTAGAGCCAATCAGCACCGAAATCTTTGATTAGTCACAGATATTGTGGAGAGAGATAGGTCACTTCTCCCAGTTTAAAAAAAAAAGTCAAATATGGGTCTGAAGGCATACATGCAAGTGAACAATTTGATCCTGAATATGTTTTTTAAACTGTAAAAGGATATAGATGGCGTAGGCTACAATCCGGACATTGGATGTTAAACCTAGATGTCACATGCCCACACATCTCATCAAAAAGTCTTATATGAATACATTTCAAGAACTATAACTGAGTTTTTCTGGTTTACAGCCTAATGCAGGAAAATTCTCCTTATCACAAATATTTCTTGACATGGCCATGAAATTTATAAAATAAAACAAGTAATAAAAAGACATTAAAAATCTCTAATCAGTAATAAACTAACATGTGTACATAATTGTAGAAAATAATCACTACTTTAAATGACCATGTTACAAAAACTAATAATATCTAAACTAAAAATGTACAGACTGTAAAATACATAACTATGTACAGTCATTAACTACAACAACCATGGTACAGAATCATAGATATAACAGTTACTAAATAAACTGATCACGTACGAACTTTACGAAACATATCTGATAACCACCTAAACTAAACACGGTACAGACTCTAATGAACATTAATTACTAACCAAACTAAAAACGTCCACATTAATTATATTGATCTACAGAGACTACTAACCAAAGTAAGTTGTAAATCTACTAATATAAATTAATTACTCAATAAATTAACTGTATAAAACATACATAGCAACTAAACATGAGCAAGTAACTCTAAAGAAGTTCAGCATTTTCATTAAATGCTGGATAAATTGCCCATCTATTTCGACCAATCGTATATCATCTATGCACCTAATTTTGTTTCGTATATGCCGTTTTTAATAGCTTTTTTATCCTGAAAATAACCAGTCACCAGCTTCAATTTAACTGCAACTTTTCTCATCTTTTGTTTGTCTTTTAAAAGTTATTTTCACATAATTTTGAAGTGATTTCTGATGCTTTCAAGTGAGCGTAAATATAAATTCCAGATAGAACTTACGACCCACTCTCTGCTCATACATGTGTAATGAAATATGATTGTATTGTTACTGATTAATCCAATAAACAACAATACACACAACTGGAAAACAATTTCAAATTTATATACTAATTTCACCTACTTCAGAAACATTGTCACAGTGATGGATGGAATAATCACTGTATTTATACAAAACATGTTAAAAACACTTCTAGTGCAACTAATACTAAAACATGTAAATATATAATGGAAATCTTATTACTTACATTCTCTCACTTCTGTTCATGTTGTTTGATAAATAGGCCAGAAAATGCAAAAAAACCTGAGTACAGTAAATACACTAGAGAGAGTAATTAATAACTGATTAATTTGATCTTGGTTTATAATGTTCATTTCAACCAACCTGATTATGGTACAAATCAAAGTTCTCACCTTACCATCATCAGAACAGCTAGCTATATGGTCTCCATTCCCATCTATACTAATCTGATTAACAGTGGTGGTGTGCTGGAAAAGATACATTGAAGAAATTAGTAAAACAAAGTCAAGTCTTAGTAAATTAATAGATTAATTTTTTGCCTTTTTTTTTTAACAACCATGAATTTTATTCTTGTCTTTTTTATTTTTCAGATAATGATGAAACAGAATAATCACTAAATACATTATTCAGTTTATACATTATGTTTTATACAGTTACAAGTATTACACGTTAAACTGGGAACTAAAGTTCTACATATATTGAGAACTTGGTACAAGTGTTAGCTTTCAAACACTTTTCATCTTAGTTTACACAAAGATATCTACTATGTGGACTTCAAGTTATACAACAAACACTTAAATAAATAATGCTTTTGTATTTTTACTAAATCAGTACATATCAAGTTTATTAATACTGAAAGAGGTCTGTGACCTGAATACAATAGATATGAAAACTTGAATTGTGTAAAAGAACCACTTGATCTACAAGTAATCCGTAATCAAAACAACATACTATGTAGGTTACAAAAAACTCCATGGATTTGGAAGGAAAAATTCTCTGACCCTAAACACAAGAAATACTACAGAAAGAAACAGAAAATGATAAAAAAAAAGGTAAAGAAACATACAGAAAACATATTTTGTTTCACACATAGCTATGGACAATGTTAAATGTTAGCTACATCACAAGGAAACATTAACAAATGATACTCAGTGTGGTACAGCTGTTAATGGAAGAACAACAGCGCTTTTGTAACAGTAACAGCTTTTGGCTAAGCTAACAGTTAAAAGCTACGAAAGTCCTGGTAGTCCATTATATATCACTATTCACTTTTAGGATAGTTTCTTTCATATGCTGTTTACTTAATATCACTTATTCGGGTCAGAATTTTCCATCATTCTGTCATTAATAATAGAAAAGATAATATTTATGTATCAACAGTTTCGTGACACTTACTAAAAGCAGTTCTTTGCTTCTGATGTTGTTTCCTTGATGATCAAGAATGTGTATAACTCCCCAGTGGGTACCCAGTGCCAAGAACTTCAAAGAAAATTAGAAAAATATTTTATGATCAACAACTATAAAGCATTACATATCCGTTTATTATTTTAACAATACCACGTTTTCATTCTTTGATTTGATTTTATAAAGTTTGAAGTAGACTCAAAGTATAGATGTCATATATTATTATTATTATTATTACTATTACACATAATGTTCATTAAGTTAAAATATCTACCTTAAAATAAACTTGTAATATTTTTATAATTTGTATGAAATAGTCTTTCAACATCGTGGCACAGTTAATGTTTTTAGCCTCCTTATTCAGAACCAATTTTTAAAAATTACAAAACTAAATTTCAGTTATGTACTGTGCACCAACTACTAAGGTAACTAACTTGTTAAAGTGATTCACAATTTGACTTCAAATGGCTAAATATTTTACTGTAAATATAAAGTGATCAATCCAGCAAATGGACAAACCTTTGGATCAACAGCTATACAGCTTGCTGCATCTTTTTTTAGAATCTGTGGCAGATCATTGATAATTCTTGCATAACACAGTTTAGGTTCTACTTCCTGAAAATATTTGATAGAAAATAAATCACTGTTAAATACGTATTACTCGTCATCTGTGAAGCAGAATTTAAATTTATAAAACACACACAAATCATAAACATAGATGTTTTATAGATGGATATCTTGTGATTACATATGAAACTCTAACCTGTAATGCTTGACATAAATTATTCATTCAATACAATTACATTTCATCTGCACAAAAATTCAAGAAATTGTAGAAAAGTTGAAAAACTGAAACATCGTGAACTAAGAAAATATTTAGTAAAACTTTAATCCATAAGAAGAAAAATTATTTTTCTGCCAAATAAATTCTTTCTCATATGGTTGATATTGTGTTTGGATTGACTAACACATTTCTATTAGTTTTAACTGTTTTTAGGAATTTTTTCTCGACTAAAATTTTTTTTAACGTTAGAAATATAAAATATTATTTGCTCGACAGATGTTTTATTACACAATTTTGAAATATTAGTACGTTGTTGCTTCTCACCTCTTCTGTCTCATCTGAACTTGTTGAACTATCTTCTTCATTCTGAATAAATCATTAAAAAATCAAAATGTAAAATGCATGGATGATCAAAGATCGTTTATCAGCAATTTTTTTTTTAACATAAAGATAACATTTTGGAAAATGGAGAATATACGTAGATTATCAGCCTTAGTTTAGAACCATTTCTAAAATTTCAAGAAAGAGGAGACAAAAAAGCAATGTTATAGCATATTATTCAGTCATAAAGTGTTGTCATGAAACAATCAATTCATGTGTACCAAATCATTTATGGATGTACCTTTCTAACACAAGTCAAACTTGTAGTATATACTGTATCAATATTCAATTTTAACACAAGCATAAATGAACAAATTCGAACATTTGGGACATGGGAAGCAGCTTCATAACGTATCTCAGGGATGAATAATAAAACTACCTTCATATTCTTTTTTATTTTTATTTATCATAATATAGTTTTCAATAAAAGTGTGATATCATGTCTGCATTTTTCCTTGATTCAACACTACATTCTAGCCATTCTGTTTCCCCTGATTTTCTTTCTGTCAAAGCTCTACCAACCACATTTATAAATATTAATCACTGAAATTTTGCACATGTATTCCTTAGCATCTGATGAAGCATTTTTCCCTTTTATTTTGCAATAAATATTATCTAGTTCAGTACTAATACTGGTTTCAAACTATTGTTTTATAGGCCTAACCCTCTATTATTGTATCAGTTGTGAACTGCTGTAATATAGGCTTACCATTCTCATTCTTATAAGATCTGTGTAGAGCTGTACAAGATTTAAACTTTTCAAAATAAAGTTGAGAAACAATTTTTACATCTTCATCTGCATCTTGTATCACAGTTATTATTATTATCAGCTCTCTCTCTCTATATATAAAGGGTTACTGTGAATGAGATTAAAGGTGTGGATTTGGTGTACCTGGTTTTTCAAAAAAGGACTTGTCAAGATGCCACATAAAAGACTTGTTAAACATTATCGCTCCATAAGCGTGGAGGATAAGTTGGCTTTTTGGATAGAAAGCTGGCTGGATGGAAGAAGAAAGCCGAGGGCTGTAATAAATGGAGTTTAGTCAAACTAGATTAACGTCACACATGGAATACCTTCGATTCATTGTAAGGATCTTTGCTCTTTTTGATTTATATAAACGACATAGATGAAGAAATGGTAAATAAACTGTTTACATTTTCTGATAATATCAAGGTTTTGAATGTTGCTGATGCTGCTTTACAAAAGGATTTAGATTATTTTGCGAGTTGGGTGAATAATTAGCAGATGGTTTTAATTATAATAAATGCAAGGTAATACATGTGGGTTACAACAGTTTGGATTATACATATCATTTGATGGGAACAACCTTAATAGTGTCATGGAAGAAAGTGATCTTTGTGTAATGGTTGCTCAGTCTCTTATAGCCATCCAAGCAATGTGCTGTTGCTAGTGGTAGGGCAAATTGGATTTTAGGTTGCATCTACAGAAATATTGAACACAAGTCTATTAAGGTCATAATTTCATTGTAAAGGTCACCGGCTAGGCAACATTTACAGTATTGTGTTCAGTCTTGGGCTCCTTACCTTAGGAAGGACATTGAATTGCTGGAAATAGTTCAGAGGAGGTATGCTAGGATGATATCTGGGATGAAACAGTTGTCATATGAGGACAGGTTAAGATTTCTAATAATGTTTTCTCTCAAAAACAACACCAAAAAAAAAAAAAAAGAGTTGATGCCCTCAAAAAAATTACATTAGAAGTTTATGGAGATTGTGTAGAGCTAGCAATCAAAAATTACTTTAGAAGTTTAAGGAGATTGTGTAAAGAGCGAGTGATCAAAAAATTACATTAGAAGTTTAAGGAGATTGTGTAAAGAGCAAGTGATAAAAAATTACATTAGAAGTTTAAGGAGATTGTGTAAAGAGCTAGTGATCAAAAAATTACTTTAGAAGTTTAAGGAGTTTGTATAAAGAGCGAGTGATAAAAAAATTACATTAGAAGTTCAAGGAGATTGTGTAAAGAGCGAGTAATCAAAAAATTACTTTAGAAGTTCAAGGAGATTGTGTATAGAGCGAGTGATACAAAAA